TGATAATGGCCTCTCTCCTTGGCTTGTAGATGGCCCTCTTCTTCCTAAATCTTCACATCTTCCCTCTCTCTGTGCTCGTCTGTACCCTAATTTCGTATAAGGACACCAACGTATTGGATTAAGGCCCACCCATATGACCTCTTTTTTATCTTAATTATCTCTTTAAAAGCCCTATCTCCAAATGCAATCGCATTCTGAGGTACTGGGGGTTAGGACTTCAATATATGAATGTCAGGGGGCACAATTCAGCTCATAACAAGTACAACAGGTATATAGGAAGGCTTAATGTTGGGTAAAGTGATTCTTCTCACTTTTAGTATAAGAAGTTGGTCTCGTTTTAATTTAAAAAATTTTTTTAATATGCAGTTAACTAGAATTGGCAGAGAGTAGCCACTGCATTTCAAAACAGAAGATAAGAGTTTAAGATCTCTTTTACCTCTAAATTGGAGCTTCTTCATATGCAAAAAAAGGGATAAACACCCACTTTATAAGGTCAGATGACACATCTATTGTAAGGACAAACTTTAGTCCTCCAGTTCCAAATCTTTCTGCTACTTTATTCTTCTTTATCAAGATTGCTTGAGTTATTCAGAGTCTGTGCCTTTCCACATGTATTTTATAATAAGGTTGTTTATGTCTACTAAAAATCTTGCTGAGATTTTGATTGGAACTGCATTAAACCTATAGATCAATTTGGTTAGAAGTGACATCTTTACTATGTTTAGTTTTCCCATCTCTATTTAGGTCTCCTTTTATATCTCTCATTAGTATTTTTAACATACATATACTGTATATGTTTTAAGTTTATACCTAAGTACTTCATTTTTTTTGGAGTGACTATAAAATGCTTTTAATTTGTTTTCGTATGTTCACTGTTAGAATATAGGAATGCAACAGATTTCTTTGGTGTTGATCTTAATCTTGTATACGTCACCACACTAAACTCGCTTATGAGATCCAGAAGTTTATGTTTGGTTTTTGATTTTGTTTATAGTAGATTTCTTGGTATTATCTATGTAGACAATCATGTCATCTGAAAATAAAGCGCTTTATTTTTTTCTTTCCTACCTGTATTTTGTTTTTCTTGTCTTGCTGTGGTGAGAACTTCCAGGATTATATCGGAGGAGAGTAGTGAGAACAGACATGTTTACCTTGTTTCCAATATTAGGGGGGAAACATTCAGACTCTCATGTTGTTGATTTTTGAATGCTGAACCAGGCCATATATGTCTGGAATAAACCCCACTTTGTCATGGTGTGTAATTCCTTTTTACACATTGTTGGAATCAGACAAACTAGGATTTTTTACTCCATGCCATGTTATTTTCACTCCACTGTAGCTACTCTTCATACTTCTGACTTTAGTTTAAATCCTGTAAAATCCCTTCTAGTTCTTTCTTCTTAAAATGTTATGGTTCCCAATGGTGGGTATTCTCTCTTGCTGCAACGAGCTAATAAACCTAATTTTCTTTGATTACAGTTGTTTTCCTGATGGTCTTTGGCTGGCAGGCTGAGGCTTGGAACCGAAGGTCTTTGGCTGGTTATCACTGAGAACGCCTAGATTCCCAGACCTGAATTTTAGAAATATTGTACCAGTGAAAGAATATAACTTTACCAGATTGCTTATAAATGTTCATAGCTGTTATTTCTACTGCAAACTTCGAAAATAAACACAAAACATCTCAAGAGATTAGAAACATTTTATTCATCATTATAAACTAGATTATATATTACAAATTCTGATCAAAGTAATAATATTAAAGATATTTTCAGTAGAACCACAAACTATCTGTACCAGAAGATAAAACCAAATAATAAACTGGTAAGCATACACTAAAATTTACTCATGTTTAAAATATCTCTTTCTTTAGAAAATTCACATACATGTTTTTCTGGTTATGAAGTAGAAGGGACACACCAATAGCTACATATAATTTTCATTTAACAAACACACGAAATATTCCCCATGCTCTAAATGAGTCAATAGAAGGCTACAAAATCTGGTAATTTTCTTTAAAAAATGGTGCATAAGACAGTACGATTGTTTTATAGAACAATATATAGAACTTCTAATTTTCCTCATACTCCCTTGCAACCCCACTGTGAGCTGATCATCAATATATAGCTGCTGGGCTGGCTAATATGTTCCTATATAATCTCTGCATTGGGTTGGGGGATGGCAAGGGGAGCATTCTGAGCATTCTGAGAATAGAGAAGCAGAGATTTCTCTTTAGAAAAATTTACACTTATCTACTTTAGCACTGGTCCTGTACAAAAGCTATTACCATTGAATTGGCTGTCTGACTTATGTACTATAATTAGAACTTCAGTTTGATGTGGAGCAGCTGAAAATAGCATCACATACTCTGTTGATTCTTGCCTAGTTGAGACAGAAGCACAAATTTGGGGGAAGAAGGTGGAAATGAATATCTTCAATTATCCTTTATTAATACTGACATAGGCATTCATACATCAGTACAGACAATTAAATAGAATTAAGTATTCTAAATTCTTTCCTTCTCTAAATCATGACATATCTGATTTTGGCTGGGCAGAGGTTTACTAAAAAGGAAGTGAGGGTTTATGTCTACGAAAAAGTAGAATACTGGGGAAAAAAAAAGTCCAGGGCAGAGTAGGCACCAAATCTAGGGAGGTACAGAGCAAACTGCTTGGAATCAAAGAACAAAGTAGCACATGGGCTAGCATAAGAAGATCCTCGGGGACAACAGCTTGACTAATAAAATGAAGATACAAGTCCTATGTAGAGAGGGAGGCAACTTGGGAAAGTCTCTGAATACATAAACCATACAATTTATCCTTTAATACCTTGATATAATGAAAAATTTTTCATAAGCAAATTCAGTATTCAGCCTTCTGAGGAAGAATTTTACCCTGGCCCACAGTTTCTTTAGTCCCACTTGAAGAATTAGAAAAGGACTTGGGAGTAGAAAACAGAACATTTCTTGGGTACTTACTTACACCTAGGTCTTTATATTTCATTTAATCCTAAGTAAAAACTCTTAGAAGTACACATCATTTCCCCAATTCACTCACATGAAAATTAAGGCTGAGAGGTCCCATACCACAAACCCCACATGAAGAAGCTGGGATCCAAAATCAGGCCTAATTCAAACGCTTGTAGTCTTTTTAAACCAACATGCTGCCTTCCCTAAAGATGTTCGAGATGACCTAGCCCAGGTCTTTACGACAGAGGAAGAGAAGGAGGAAAAGAAAGAGCTGCGGGATATTTCTTCAGAGAAATTCTTTTGACTGGTCAGGAACTGGAGTTTTCCCATGCTTTAAAGCCATTTCAAATGATGACGATGTGTCAGAAGGTGAGGATGTGGCACTTGCCTTGACTAGGTTTTGAGAGGAAATTTCCTCCGGGGGTTTATAACACTAAGGATAAAAGAACTGTTCATTTTCCAAAAGGTGAAACTAGTGAGAGACTGAGGAACATTTGCAGCCTTAAGCCTGTAATATTGGGTGAGGCTTCAGGCTGGGAATTCATTACTAGTGTGATTCCCAGATGCTGCTCTAGTCCCCGATCTACAAACCCCTGCTTTCCTATGTTTCCTATTAACAGTCAAGAAAGGCATTCCAGCAGCCAGTGGTCTATGTACGGAAGGATACGGAACCTTAGCCACTGGGGCCAAGATACCTTAGATTTTGAGCACTTCAAGACCTTGGACTCCAGGAACCAATTAAAGAGAAATAACCTAAACAGGAATGGGCGAGAGCCCCTAGAGAACGGAGGCAGTCCCAATTTAAAATGGGGAGAAACGTGGAATGTATGCACGTCTATATGCTGAGTACAAGCAAATGGTCGTACTAACCAGGGTAGATTTTGCCCAGGAACACTGTTATTATCTACTATATTTTTTCAACCATGAAAAATAAAATTAGATTTGGCTATTTAGAATTTGGGTATGATTTCTATGGGCTGATTTTCTAACAAAGAGAAAGCTGATTACAATGGTCTGTCATTTGGAGATCAATTTACTGGTAATTTATAAAGGTCCCCAAAAACCTAATTATGTTATTTATGAAAAGACCCAATGATTATGGCATTGGAAAGTTCACCCTAAGAGAGAGGCCATTGGTTATCATTTATCAAAAAAAGTGTTCATTGTTTTTAAAATTTGGAGTGGGGTGGTTATAGGTTACTTTCACCAACTTTTTAAAAATTAAATGTATTGGGGTAATATTGGTTAACAACATAAGTTTCAGGTGTATAACTTTATAACATACATCTGTATATTCCATTGTGTGCTCACCACCCAAAGTCTAGTCTCCTTCTATCACCATATATCTGACCCCCTTTACCCACTGCATCCTCCTCCAACACACCTTCCCCTCTGGTAACCACCGTATTACCCCACCTT